TTGATTTTAATTCCTACTACAAATAAACCCTAACATTTCCCTTTTCAATTTATCTATCTAACATTTTGATACAATTTGTATTTTCTATCTGAATAAATAAAGGAGCCCTGGTGTCACAATGTTTAACCACTCGGCTGCTAACGGAAAGTTTGGCAGTTCAAACCAGGGCTTTGAACCAGTTCATTCCAGTCTGAAGCCCTGCTGATAATTTGCATTTCTAATAAGTTCCCAGACAATGCTAATGATGCTGGTTAGGGACCAATTCTGAGAACCACCAGTAGAGCAGTGGTTCTCAAAATTTACTAAACATAAGAATCATCTGGAGATTTTGTTAAAATGTAGATTCTGATTCCGTATGTCTGGGATGGAAATGTAAATTCTCAGCAGGGGTTCGAACTGGAAGGAATCAGTTCAAAGCCCTGGTTCAAATCCACCCAGTGGGTCCACAGAAGAAAGATCGGAAATCCTCTCTCGTAAAGAGTACAGCCTAAAAAACTCTACGGGGCAGTTCTACTCTATTACCCGGGGTCGCTATGAGTCAAAACTGACTTGATGGCACCTAACAGCAACAACATCTTTATAAATATTCTTTAGCAACTTTCACTTTCAACTAAGATGGAATAATAGGGATCAGATTTACCCTGTCTGAAATAACTAAAAAACCAGTCAAAATATTTGAAATGGCTCAGAGGACACTGTACACAGGTAACAAAAGATAGTAATCCATGGGAGATGGGAAACAAATGAAACAGGCCAGACAAGTGTCCCATCTTACTGCCTGGAGAAAGTTTCAGGCCACGGAACAGGAAACGGGAACCCAGGAAGAGGCCAGCAGATACCCTTAGTTGAGGAGATGGAACTGGGAGTGCAGAAAAGCCAAAGCAACTAAAGTTCAGGGCACAGTACTGAAGAGGAGAGAGCTGCAGAGAGAAATAATAACCAGAAATCTACAGAGAGTCCTTCGTAAGTATTCTATCAGGTACTGATGAGTGCATGCTTGTGAAGCTGGAGAAAGAAATACCCAGAAGAATTATAGGGAACAGTGTACAGAACTGACACCAGCCTGAGATAGTGCCTATTCCCAACAGTCAAGGTAGAACACTTCATAATTCATAGGGCTTTGATTAGAGAAGAAATGTCTTGCCTCAGCAGTGGAGAAATTAAGCCTAGAACAAACACAGCTCTGGTACTGCCTAAGAAAGCTTAAATGCAAAATGATCAAACTCTTTCCAAGTAAATTAACCCTATCCCAAAACAAAGCTCAAGAATACTTTTAGGAATATAAAAATTCCATCAGCCAACAAGGTAAAATTTACAATGACTTAAATCCAATAAAGAATTACCATTTACGCAAAGAAACAAGAAAATATAATACAAAATGAGAAAGAAGGAAAAAAATCAATCCACTGAAAATCACCCAGAATTTACACAAATGATAGACTAGACATATACATTAAAATAATCAGAACTGTATTTTGTATGTTCAAGAAGCTAGAGCAAATATTAAGCATGTTAATTAGACAAGAAAGAAATTTTAAAAAGACACAAATCAGACTACTAAAGGCGAAAACTACAATGTTTGAGATGATAAGTACACTGAATGGGACGAAACACTGCAGAAGAAAAGATTAGTAAACTTGAAGACACAGCCATAGAAACTACAAAATGAAACACCAAGAGAAAAAAAGACTGAAAAAGAAAAGGAAGAGGGAATCAACGAGCTGTGAAACAACTTCAAGCAACCAAAAACATATGTAATTGGAGTTACCAAACGAAGGGAGAGGTAGAAGAAATATTGGTTAAAATTTTTCCAAATCAGATTTATACTATAATCCCACAGCTCCAAGAGGCTCAATAAACCCGAAGCATAAGAAACATGGAGAAAACATAATCACATCATAATCAAACTACTTTAAAACAGTGATAAAGAGAAAAATTCTAAAAGTAGGTAGAGGGGAAAACACACACACACACATATTACATACAGAGGAACAAAGATAAGAATGACAGTAGATTTCTCATCAGAAATAATGCAAGCTAGAAGACAGTGGAGCAAAATCTTCAAAGTACTGAAAAAGACGAACTGTCAACCTAGAATTCTTTGTGAAAATATCTTTCAAAAACAAAAATGAAATAGATTTTTTTTCAGACAATCAAAAACTGAAAGAATTATCCAACACCAACAGACCTGTACTACAAGGAATGTTAAGTCCTTTAAGCAGAAAGAAAATGACATCAAACGGAAACCTGCAATAAAGGAATAAAGAGCACCAGAAATTATAACTACGTAGATAAATATAAACAATCTTCTTGCTAAAGGTCCGCGGAATGTTCATTTTTAAAGAAATTATTACAGGGACACTTCATTTTCTTTACCATGTAGGTTCCCTTTCTCAGAATTTCTGTTATAAAATGCTTTGCATCTCCCCAAACTACATACAGTATTTTGGGTACCGGTAAACTAAAATTTTACAAAGGGGAAGAATATGTAAGATTGAGGAAAGCAAAAACAGAGATACAGAAAAGGACAGAAAGAGAAAAATATAAAAGTGAAAAAAAGAGCTGGTACCACATGGAAAGATCTGAAATGATGGAAGCCCTTTTCTTCATAGGCTGATGAAGTGTTTAATTTTAGGTCTTTTTATGCACAACATTTCCCCATATCCAGTACCATATAAGAGAGATTTTCCTGCATTTCAGACAGCACTGAATGCCAGAGGGATCTTTGAGCCAGGACAGAACAGTGACTGTTATTAATGGTCAAGGTAAGTTAGACTCAATGCTTTTCTAATACCAATTGCTTCTCTTTCCCTTGGTAGGTTAAAGAACTTTCAAGTTTGACATCTGTCCCAGGTAAAGGGCAATTGAGAATATAGGTCTGGGTCAGATGTCTGAACCATCAACATGTTCTAGATGTGTACGTTTACCAAGTGAACTAACTTGGAAAAGTCATAAGCTCAACTTCAATTAACCAGTATTTCTCTCTCTACTCTGTTTTCAGGGAAGAAAGAGAACAAAAGTAAGAAAATACGTGAAAAGTGATTTATTTTAAATAAATTATTTTAGATATATTCTAGGGTCAACAGAAAAAAATTCTAATATTTCAGATCTTCCTCATCTCTAGTATAGTCAACGGTCAGAACAATATAAGATTCTACAAAATCTGGAATTGCTAAACAAAAACTATGTTGTACATATGAAAGGCTATTTATCTAAGGTAGAAAAGTTGATTAGTACCTGATTGTTAAAAGAATTTCAAAAGGGACTGGAACAAAATAGATTAAACTTCACCTTAATCAAAACATTGGTGTCCAAATTATGATTCCACAGAAGCGACTTAAGGCCCACAGTAGGGAGTGGGGGGTTGGGGTGAGTTTGAGAACTGAGAAGGTTAAAAAACTCCACATTTTCATTTCAATGCAAGCAGCTTGTTTCTTTTTACTTTATCTGTTGGGGTTCTAGGCTGGATTTCTTTTGGGAAAAAAGGGGCGGGGGGGAGTAGGTTAGTTGAGAAGTCCCCAAGTGACGCAAAAGGTTAATAACACTTGGCTGCTAACCAAAAGGTTGGAAGTTTAAGTCTACACAAACACCTTGTAAGAAAGGCCTGATGATAGAACTACTTCTGAAAAACCAGTCATTGAAAATCCTATGGAGCACAGTTCTACTCTGACATACACAGGGTTGACATGAGTAGGAATTGACTCAATGGCAACCTTTTACTTTTTTTCAGATTAAAAAAAAAACAGAAAATGTATTTTGAAGCCAATGCACATTAGTTCATCTCAGTCCTCTACCATTTATATAATTCAATATTGTAGTCTAATTACAAACTCTAATATATTATGATAAAGACAAAATTAAATCAAGCTAGTAAAAAAACCAAATCTATGATAACTTAGTACACTTAAATTTTAGGAATGTCTGTGGTAATGGGGTGATCACAATTTTTGTGAAATTTTTTAAAAAGCCTTGAAACTGCTGTATTTTTTATTATAAACTTCAAAATAATACATAATGTATACTCATGAACAAACTCCCCCCCCCCCAAAAAAAAAAAACCTGTTGCCATCAAGTCGATTCGGACTTATAACAACCCTATAGGACAGAGTAGAACTGCCCCACAAAGTTTCCAAGGAGTGGCTGGTGGCTTCAAACTGCGACTTTTGGTTAGCAGCCAAGCTCTTAAGCCCTGTGCCACTAGGGCTCCAGAGACCTGGAAAGTCGAATTATAAAAAGTTAGGAAAAGTTTTTTTCATATGCATACTCTACTATTGTTGTCATTCTAAACTTTTGACCTAAATATGCTTCATAATTAAGTGAAAATTTTACGTGTGAGCTTAGCATGATTCAATTATCTTTCTTAAGTTCTCATAGACTTTTGGCCTAACTTGGGCCATCGATCTGGCAAATGCACGTAGGTATTCTCTGAAAGCCAAGAACAGATATAATTAAATTAACGTAAATACTACACAGAAAAACTATTCCAACTGCATGTTTTAAAGTTATCCATCTACTGGGACAGGTATTTATATATATATAAAATAGTATAACATGCAATCACAAACCAATGTAAAAGATAAACAAGAAATTAACAGATACTGATAAGGGGGTGCCAAAAGAGTGAAGAAATAAAATACCTAAAGTATTTATAATACATGCACACATTTTAACATTACTGATTATATTTTCTGGATTGTAGCTTTTCTCATTATTCACAGGCCTTCAAAATTAAATAAAAATTCCTAAAAATTGAGTGATAATTGTCTTGCACAAAATACTCTATAGTATTTCTTAGAATTTAGGTATTTTAAACATGTATTCTTAATTTACTATGCAAACACCTTAAATCAAAACCTTTTTTGTATCACAGAAACATACCTTTCTGTTGAAAAGATTATTTCCACTTATTACAGAAGCCAAAATACCCAAAATATTTTTGCTACCATTAAAAGTGATATTTTAAAAAGTTTTAAAAATTTAACAAGTAATTATGGTCTCACCTGTACAGCACTATTAAGAAAGCAGCTGTTTTGTCCTGGTTCATTTAATAAGCCTTTGGTAGGGGCCAGAGATAGCATACTCCCAGGTTGATAAACTTTTCCAAGATTGCCACCAGGTTTCCGTAAGAATTTTACCCATGCCATTTTCAAGCAAATTTGTTTGCATTAAAGCTTTGAATTGTATACTTATGTAATATTTCTGATGATAAAATGGATGATATATGGAACTGTCCACTTAAGTTCAGTGCAGTCTATTACAATAACACAAGTTTCCAAGTCCATATCTTTCCTGATGCTACAAATTTTTATGAGGACTTTCTAAAGTAAAAATAGGGTATATAAATGTTAAAAGTCTGATAACTTAAAAAAACCCACTAACTTAAACAAGGCCTTACAGATTTTTATACGTGTTAAATTTCATAAGAGAGCTGTACAGTTTAAGATGAATGATTTTTAAAATGTTACGAATAATGTTGATGGTCAAATCATCTTCCTTAAAGGCATTTGTCTTGATGGGTTAAAAATAGATGATACCAAAGATGTAGAGCTGGCATTTAGCGTGAATCCTCAAGTTATTTACTTTTATTTATTTATTTTTTTAATAAGAAAGAAGACTCTCTTTCCCAGATGAAGTTATCAAAGGTGACTCCATATTTCGTATCAATGTGACCTCAAAGCAAATCTACAAGAGAAAAAAAGAAATATTTAAATAAAAGTAAAGACTAATCACGAAAATTCCTACTTTACTATTTGAACACAAATACTGAATACAGAATTAAAACTAATCATAAAAAAGGATTATAGCTGATAAAGTTCTAAAATATGAAAATTAAAACATATTTCATCAACTAACATTTTATAAAAATTTCAATATAACATCAATCACTACCTACCTCAAACTTTCAATGTTCAAATGATGGCTTCATAAGAAAAATATTTTACAAAAAACTAAAATTAATTATACTTCAGGAATCAACATGTAAATTGCTCTGTATATTAAAACAAACACATATTTAGGAACTCTCTTATTATCTATCTTACATACAAAATCGTAACATTTTCCTAAGAAAGTCAGTTGATTTTATGTAAACTGATATACGTAACAACTCTGAAGAAACCTTTAATTGATAAATCCTAGTGAAATAAAGTAAATTACCATCTTATTCATGAATGCACGCTCCTGGCTAAAAGATTTTTAAATGTCAAACTTCTTAATTAAAAACAATCAAATATTACTAACAAAGTTTTTTTTTTTAATCTATTGAATGTCCTTCCTTCTTTCACTCATTCGACAAACACTTATTGAGCCTTGTACTGTGCCAGGCACTGGAACAAACATTATTGTGAGAGAAGGCCAACAATAACACAATGAATAGTAAATTATATAGTGTACTAGAAGGGTTATGTGTTAAGTGCTGGGAGAAAAACAATGCAAGGAAGGGGGATTGAAGTGTGTATCATGTGGGACGGTTTGCAATTTTAAATAGGATAGTCAAGGAAGGTTACCTTTGCACACAGACTTGAAGGAGATTAAGAAGCCATCAAAAGGCATTCCAAGCACAGTGAACAGTAACTTCAAAGATTCTGAGGTTGGAGCATGCCTGGTATGTTGATGGAATAGTCAGAAGCCTAGTGTGGCAGAAGAAATGTGAGCAAAGCTGTGAACAAGGGACAGAGAAGATTAAGAGAGAGGATGGAAAAGGGACAGATCATGTAGGTATTAGCAAGCCCTGGATAAATGGCAAGTCACTGGAGTTTCATTTTCACGGCACAAAAAGATGATAGGCAGAATGGCATAGGTCAGTTCAATATCATTGATCAAATACCCACTAAGATGGAGGTAATAAGGAGCAAAGAATAAGCCTCAGACCTAAAGAACTGAAGTCAGAAGACCATTTTCAGGCCCAGCCTTATCACTTATTAGCTGCTTGGTCTTAAACAAATTCTTGTCATCTCTGATTCACAGCTTCTTCACTTACAAAATGGGGATATAACAATAACAGCTCTGCTTATCGCACACAGACTAAATGTTTTTGAGAATTATAAAACACTGTATCATATCTGTCAGTTTGTTGTACTGTGGTGGCTTGCATGTTGCTGTGATGCTGGAAGATACGTCACCAGTATTTCAAATACCAGCAGGGTCACCCATGGTGGACAGGTTTCAGTGAAGCTTCCAGACTAAGACAGACGAGGAAGAAGGACCTGGCAATCTATTTCTAAAAAATTGGTCAGTAAAAACCTTATGAATAGCAGCAGAACATAGTCTGATGTAGTGGTGGAAGATGAGCCCCTAAGGCTGGAAGGCATTCAAAAGTGGCTGCAACAATGGACTCAAACATAGCAACGACTGTGAGGATGGCACACGTCACGGATTGAATTGTGTCCACCAAAAATACCTGTCAACTTGACTAGGTCATGATTCCCCGTATTGTAGACTGTCTACTATTTTGTCATCTGATGTGATTTCCCTATGTGTTGTAAATCCTATCACTATGTTAATGAGATGGATTAGCAGCAGTTATATGGATGAGGCCTACAAGATTAGACAGTGTCTTGAGCCAATCTCTTTTGCGATATAAAAAAGAGAAGCGAGCAGGAGACATGGGGACCTAAACCACTAAGAAAGCAGCACCGGGAACAGAGTGCATCCTTTGGACCCAGGGTTCCTGCATGGAAAAGCTCCTAGTCCAGGGGAAGATTGATGAGAAGGACCTTCCTCCAGAGCCAACAGAGAGAGAAAGCCTTCCCCTGGAGATGACACTCTGAATTTGGACCTCTAGCCTACTAGACTGTAAGAAAATAAACTTTTCTTTGTTAAAGCCATCCACTTGTGGTATTTCTGTTACAGTAGCATTAGAGGACTAAGACAGCACAGGAGCGGGCAGTGTTTCATTCTGTTCTGTTGTACATGAGGTTGCTATGAGTTGGAACCAACTCAATGGCACCTAATGACAATAACATATTATGTTAGTTGTCTTCTTTTAACCTTCTCTAAAGTACAGCCCTGGTGGCACAGTGGTTAAGAGACTGGCTGTCCAAATCCACAAGCTGCTTCCTTAGAAACCCTATGGGGCAGTTCTACTCCGTCCTATAGCGTCACCATAGGAATTTACTTGATGACAATGGGTTTTTGGTTTAAAGTGATCTAAATGATCCTGAAACCTTTCATAGAAAAAAAAAAATTTTTTTTTTAAATAAATTTAGTAATGTTTTACATCATTAAGAGAGCTCTGAATTGGTAGTAAATTCTTTTCTTTTCTTTTAATGGAAGAATCCTTTTATGAGGCACCAAGTCTGTATCAAGAACTGTGTGAAGGTATACGAGACAATACCTGCCCTTGAGGAGCTTAGTTTGATGAGGCGTACAGACACAATTAAAGGAGTCCCTGGGTGGTGCAAATGGTTAAGCACTCAACTACTAGCTGAAAGGTTGGTGGTTTAAACCCACCTAGAGATACCTCAGAAGACAGGCCTGGCGATCTGCTTCCAATAGGTCACAGCCTTGAAACCTCTATAGAGCAGTTCTACTCTGTAGACACGGGGTCACCATGAGTCAGAATCAACTCAACGGCAACTAACAACAGACACAGATAGTTATAAAATATTGTGGCTTCTATTCCTGCACAAGATGTCAAACTAGTATGTGCTCCCGGCTCCCTCCTTCCAACCCAACTCTGGAGATTACACAGAAGCAAAAGGGAGAAACGGAGAAAATATGGGAATGCCAAAAGTGACTGGCTTCTAAAAGCAGGAGGGAAACGGCAGCCAAGAGATGGAAGGGATCAAGTGTTACACACTGGGAAAGATCTTTCTAGTTGTGCCCCTTTCCGTTCCTCACATTGCCCTGACCCAAACAACACGATCAGACAGGAAAGCTCTGATACCAACGGAGCACCACATGGAGGGTGAAGGAGATTATAACATCAAGAAAGCACTGGAGCCCAGATGGTTTGGGTAGGTTTGGGGAGTGGTAACAAGAACAGGTGACCAGGAAGGCACCTATGTGTTCTGTCCTCACCCACATGCCACAAATAAAACAGAGTACAGCAAGATCCGAAGAAAAGCATGCCCCTGGGCAGGGCAACAGGAACTTTCTTTTTGGAACCAACCCTCAGATTGCATCACCCCAAATCAAGCCCCTCAACCCCCACTTCTATTCTCTGAAATCTTATAAAGACACAAATTAGAGGCTAGTCTTTCACCCTTCTCCCTAGGTAAATATAACTGGCTTATAACTTTGTATTCCCTGGAAAAAAATAACCAGACGCCGGCAGAGTACAAGCAAGATGAGAGAAGGGCAACAACCTGAAACAATCTATACCATAAGAAGCAGAATTAAAAGACCAAAGGGAACACGAATTTAAAATAAATCTAATAAATATCCATCAACTGAAGATAATGAGTACACATACACAAACACACCCCTATATAAAATACTGAAAAATTCAAAGGATGGGTTAACTAGCGAATTGAACAGATAGGAAGGCCTCAAAAGCAAGCAATAAGTTTAGAGCAAGGCAGTCTCTTACAAAGCATTAAAGAAGAAACAGATAGGTGGAAAGTTTAAATATTTTTTAAAAGTTAAAAGACATGGATGAAATATTTAGAAGTGCCAATATCTATCTAAGAGGATTTCCCAGAGAGGAAAAAAGGATATCGAGTAAATACTTTTAGAAATGACTATGAATTCCACAAAATCAAAAAGTGAAAAACTCAGACAAACAGGATAACTCAAAAATCCAAACATGATGTGAGGAAGGAGAAGCAAGATGAAAATTGCAAAACTTTAAACGGGGGACGGACGTGATTCTAGTCCATTAACAGGCAACAACAGAATAAAAACAAATAAATCTAAAACTAATACAAATACAATAGACAAAAGCTTCACAACCCTGATTAAAGGAAAAAGAAGAGATAGATAAGCAGCCAAAAGAACTGTTAAAGAATACCACTTAAACCTTAAATATATATTTAAGGAGAAAGAAGCTAGTCTGAAAAAAGCTATACACGGTATGATTCCAACTATATGACATTCTGGAAAAGGCAAAATATAGACACAGTAAAAAGATCAATGGCTGTTGGAGGATGAGGGAAGGTGGGGAAGGGGGGAAAGGGTAGAGGGATTAATAAGTGAAACACGGGATTTTTAGGGCAGTAAAACTATTCTGTCTGATACTATGATGGCGGCTACATGGCATTATACATTTGTCAAAACCCATAAAACTGTACAAGAAGAAGAGTGAATTTAATGTAAACTATGGATTATAGTCTGTATGGATCATAATATATTAACATGCATTCATCAATTGTAACAAATGCACTAATGTAAAATGTTAATAGGGAAAACCGTGTATGCGAAAGAGCAAACTGAAGGTATAGCAAGAAGCACGTTCTTCATTGCTGATTAATAAATAAATGTAATTATACTATTATACCCTTCTGGCAATACTATAGCAACCTGGAAACTACTACTAAAATTAAAAAACAAACAGAATTCAACCCCAAAATCCCAATCCTGAGAATTTATCCCATGGAAATAAAAGTACTGTTTTACTGAAACACATTAGGTATTAGTAGTAAAAAAAAGGAAACAAAGTGAATGCCCATCAATAGGGACATGACTGCATAATAGGGGGTTCTGAGTGACAAAGGCAAGATGATGCAGAAACTTAACATGAT